CCCTTTATTAATCTGGGGTCACCACAACGGAATGAACCGCCAGTTTATCCAGCACATTTTTACGCAGCGGATGCCCTTCCAGCTGCAACCCATCTCTGGGAAACATCCACAAACACTCATTCACTCACACTCATACACTACGGACAATTTAGCCTACCCAATTCACCTGTACCGCATGTCTTTGGACAGTGGGGGAAACCGGAGCACCAGAACATGCAAACTCCACACAGAAACGCCAACTAAGCCAAGGATCGAACAAGCGACCCAGCAACCTTCTTGCTGTGAGGCTACAGCACTACCTACTGCGCCACTGCTTCGCCCCACAAAGTAACCAATGAAGTATTTAGTAATACTCATAAACCAACATGTACTTACTATACAGTTAAGGTTATGCTGAGGGTTAGGTTCAAGGTTACTTGTTTGTAATTATATTAACAAGGACATCATAGAATAAAGTGTAACTGGTCATTTTATTAAATGATAAACCCTTGTGCTCTCTTATGAAAAATACATTTTATCTTTGGGTGAGCTTTCCATTGAAAGTGTTGTGTAAACCCATCTTAAAAATGGTATGTTAGCGGCAATAGTGTGGACAGTGTGGATCTTTCCCAACCCTAAACTGTTCTCTTAATGTTTTGTCAACTAAAGGCAAAAATGCCACAAATACAAAACAGTGATCTTTTGTCTTTTTGTTTGATCATCATAACAGTCTCCCTTCAGTGTTTGTGAGATTTAGATCTCAAAGTGAATATTTGCATTCACTGGTGACTAACAAATCAGAAATTTACATTTATATAGTTTTATTGAGTGTGTCTAGAGGAGCGCATTCACAGACTGGTATTCCACAAATGAAAATGAAGATCCTCTGGGTTGCTCTTTTCCTGTCAGCTCACTCTGAGCTGACTTTAACTCTTCTAATCAGGACGCATGTTTTTATTAATACCGCCCTGTCCTGGAGCGATGCTCAAAGCTTTTGCAGAGAGAATCATTATGACCTATCCACCTTAGACAGCCAAGAGGAAGTTGACAGGTTCAAAGCCGATGGAAAAAACCACATGAGTACCGAAAGCTGGGTCGGTCTGAGCAAACCTTCGGCTACAGGAGAGTGGGTCTGGAGCGACGGAAGTCAAGAATCTTTTTTAACCTGGAAATCCGGCCAACCAAATGATCCAGACACTGACTTTTGTGCCAAGAGTACAAATGGTGAACTGTTTGACTTCAATTGTAATCAAAAGTACCCATTTTTCTGCTACTACTGGATGCCTCCGTTGATCCTGGTAATGGAGCAAAAGAGCTGGGAAGAGGCGTTTCAATACTGCAGGACTAAACACAACGGCTTGGCCTGTTTGCCAACCCGTTTACATCTCTTACAAGTCCAAAACCACACTGAAGCCTCTGACGCCCCCAGCGTGTGGACGGGTCTGCGCTTTCTGGCAGGCTCCTGGTTCTGGGTGAACGGGGAGGCGCTGGGTACTCTGGTCTCGCTGCAAGCATGTCCTGCTAACGCCCTTTACTGTGGATCCCGAAACCTGGGAGCTAAAAGTTGGGAAAACAGAAACTGCATAGACAAGCTTAACTTTGTGTGTTATTGAAGAGCAAGGTAAGTAGCGCATAATGCATTTGTGTTTCTGTCAGTACATTGCTCGCATCTACTCTAAAATGAATGCTGTCAATTAAATTCAAATGTATATTTAAAGAGAGTTTTAGCAATTGTTTTATTATTTTATAGCAATCCTTAATAACATATGATTTAAAAGAGGTGTCTTTTGCTCTGCATTTATTTGTTTGAAAATATCATACAAACATTTTTATAATTATTTTTATTTCAGTTTTAAATTAAGGTTTTGTGTGAACAAATTTTATTTTTATATTTTTTTATTTTATTTTAGTTATTCCAGTGATTCAAAGCAGCCATCCACAAAATTGAACATAATAACCATTATTAAAAAACTTGATGTTAATTGAAAACAACAGAGCAACAAATCAGCATTTTAATAATGATTTCTATAGGATTATGTCACACTAAAAACTGGAGTAATGATGCTGTAAATACAGCTTTGAATAGCAGGAATAAATCATATATTTTAGATTTACTTTAAATTATGGCTTTTTTTTTATAGTGTTTTTGATCGAATACAATATTTGGTGAGTAGTAAAGACTTATGGTTACCAAATGTTTGACTGGTAGAATGTTTAAGTCTGTGTATGTTCATACTTATACACACTGCTATTGTTGATGTTTATCGAAACTTGCTTAATAATGCACAATTTTGTTTTCTTTTTCAGAGGCGTTGAGAAGAGCACCAAATAAAGAAAGGAATCAAAAAAATTAAAATTTTGAAATACACTTGTTTATCTTTTTAAAGTAATTTGGATAACAAAATGCTTGCCATTTATAATGACATTGATTCACAGTAGTTTTAAAGCTATGTTAATAAACAACTAGTTTAACATTGTAAAACTATTTTGTTTAGGAGGTAAACAACATTTCTGTTTTCCCATGTAACACCTTGTGCACCCCTTTTTATCAGTTAGTGTCAGTAAAAAAATCTCCATGTGCTGTGAAAAAACTGTAGACCCCTATTAGTGTTCATATGAATGTCAAGTCAACTGAATAAATAATGAAAAGAATCTTGAGTCATGCCATTTTCAGTTATTTATTTATTTGACCCAATACATACGTTAAAGTAGGTACTTTAATAGTCATTGTTACACTTCCGCTAAGAGAAATGAAAAGCTGAATTAATCAAATATTGTATAAATACCTGTACATTTCATGTGTTGATAACTGTATGAGCATCTTCATGCTACACTGAACACTGTGAGCACTGTATGAGAGTTGTTATTAATGACCTTTTACATGTTTCTGACCTATCTGATAAAGTAAAATGTAACAGTCAGGTTCCAGTAGTAAAAGCTCCATTCATTTTCTCCATAGGGAATATTTAAAAAACATTTTAAAACAATTCCAACAATCGGAAAGTAGTAGTGTGTAAAGCACACCAACAAAAATCTTTAGCTCTTCCCACTGCCATGAAGCTCTTTCAGTATTTGTACATACTGTATGGATATTTTGTAATAAAATTTAAATATATTGTTTCTATAGATACAATGGGTAACTTAAACTGAACAGTTTAATATGAGTTCATAATTTTTAATTTGAGGATTTATAATGTGCAATAGCTTCATGAGTTCCTCATTTAAATTTTTATCCTACATTTGCCTCCTTGCTTCAAATTAAAGTTTGCAGTGTTATCATTCTTCTTGACGTGTAGCTAAAATTTCTTCAAGGCCCATGACACTTTAACAAAAAGATCCCTTGGAAAAAAAATTACTGGGGGAAATTTGTTCTGGAAGCAGCACTGTTAAAAAGGTGGGTAAAAACGAATGCAGCCTATGTTGTTCTAATGAAAGACGTTTAAAAAAGTTAATCAAATAAAAATGTAGACAGCAGAGTTTTGTATTGTTTACCCTCAATTTTAGTCTATTAATTTACTGTAAATTACTGGACTATTTAAAGATCTTAGCATTGAATAATTAATTTGTACTTTGTAAAAAAAAAAAAACAGGATCAAAAACATAATTTCAAGAGTTCACACTTAGCTGATGATTGATTATTAAGCATATTTGGCATGCTGTCCTGGGAGAGAGCCCTGAGCTCATAAGATCCTCGAGCCTGGGGGTCCCTCCCATTTGCAGGGCGAGAGAGGGGAGTTTGAGCTCAGGCAGGTCTTAACCTCCCTTATTTATGGCTAATGACAAATTAGAAATTGCCATATAGAGATATACTGCTGGTTAAGAGCTCAATGTAGTGCCAATTCAGATTGATAAATTAACTTATGACACCTCTTTGGACTGTGGGAGGAAACCAGAGAACCCAGGGAAAACCCACGCCAACATTGCAAGAACATGCAAACTCCAAACAGAAATGCCAACCAGCCTGTTAAGGACCTGAACCAGTGACGTTCTTGCTGTGAGGCAACAGTGCTAACCCCCATGCTTTCCTATAAAGGGAAAGGAGGAGAAGTAGGGGTGGAAGGGGGATTCTTCAAGGCAAAGATAACTGAAGTAAGAAATTTGGTTATCTATAGTTTGTTAGGAATCATCTGATTGATGAATCACGTGTTAGCTAATGCAGGACCAGCCCTGATCAATCATAAGCATGTGCTCCTCTCAAAATTAGCTCATAAATAAACTTCATTTCACAACAACCATTTTGGTTCCACAATTACAAAAAGTTCTTTAAGAACCCATGCCCTTTTCATTGTGTGAACAACAGCATTTTAATTTAATCTAAAGAATATTTTCTAACAATACAAATCTTATGTGAAATGAAAAGGTTGTTAAAGACTCTTAGTCAAACCATTCATGCCAATAAAGAGCTTTTATTTTATTTTAATTTCCAGCAGGGGGGATGCAATTTAATAACTTAAAATTAAGCTCTGTAATTTAAACACACAAAATGTTGTTTTTTTCACAAAATTAAACATGATGACTGTACAATTGTTTTAATGCCAATTATAAATATTATATTACTTTTTATAATGAAAACCTTATTTTAATTACACATTATTTGTTTTCAGAATGTAAGAATGCATACCCTGAACGAGAGACGAAGAAATGCTTCAAAATAATGTAAATGCACACAATTTTGTAACAGTTAAGTTATCTTTTTGTCCTTCTTCTTCATTATAACTAAAAAGGGATTACTTCTACAACTCATACTATAAATAATAAAGGAGAAAAAAATCTAAACTGTCAGCCAGTGACTCAGTTTAACATTTCTTTGGCCAAAAAACCACATAAAATAAAACATATTATCACCATGACACATGGAATCAATTAGTGTAAAATGTTTACAATACAATAAACGACTGAATGTTGATTTCCTGCTCTAGCAAATATCAGTAGTGTGGTAAATAAAGGAACAATCAGGTATTTTATCAAAGTTAGCAACATAATCCTATCAGTATGTGGCTATTCAAGCTGTCAAAGCTTTCTTTTTTTTGTCAAACAAAGCTATACTATATGTTTTAATACTAGTGTAGAAAAGTGGTAGCCTGATTCAGATTAAACCTGTACAGTACACTGACTGGGAGGACCAGCCGTTCCCATGATTCCATGCAGTACCACTCAGGCATCTACACCCGTGTTGACGAGCAGCTCGTATGCAGGGTCATGACCTCTACGGCAGAGGACCACACATGCACACAGCAGCCCAAGCATCTGTGCAGGAAAACAGAAAACAATAAAGAAAACATGAAGTACAGTGCATTAAAAGACTATGATAATCCTGTATTTCAATTGTGTTGTCTGTTCACATCTGACTATCTTGAACATTTAATCATGTTTGATTGAAGACCAGAGATGCAAACTGTAACTGGGAACTCTTTATATTTGAAAGCCAGTGACCAATATACAGGTCTGTAAATGAAAAGCTTAAGAATTTTTAGAGAATGATTACATAAACACACAAAATATTGTACAGCTAGTTTTGTTTTTAAAATTGTAAAATAGTTACAGCTAGGTAACGTCCAAAGATTTTGAGGCACTACGCATTATCAATATTTGTGACTTCTGCAGCCATGGTACTTCAGAACCGTTTCTGATTATTACCCTGGAATGAGAGTATAGTTCCTAGTCATATCTAAATAGAAAGTTGCGACTTTTCAATTTCGTTAGTCTTAGTACACAGTGTAACTACATAAGACTAAAACTTTAAATAGAAAAAATATCAAAACCCTTTGGTCATTTTTAAGTGATATGCTAATGGTATAATCCGATTCAATGATCTATGCTAAGCTAAGCTACAAGTTACCCCACCTGACCCGAAAATCAGCTGAATAGATTTAGAAATGGTAAAACTCAACTGTTTGACATTAGAGGAACTGTAAAATTCACCCATTTTTCTTTAAAGGAAGGATTTATTAGCCAGTATGCTAATAAAAATATGTTTTATTACCAATATATATTTTTTATTAGCAGCCCAAGCATCTATGCAGGAAACAGGAAATGATAAAGAAAACATAAAGTACACTGAAAGACTGTGAGAATCCTGTATTTCGAAAATTGCATATAATTTGTAAACATCTAAATATCAAACATATTTTTTAAAATGAAAGTGTTCTTTTATGGATTTATTAGCCACCATGCTAAAAAAACTTTTTTTAATAGCAATATATATTTTTTTATTAGCCAACAATATATCATTCATTACCTTTTTAAAGGAGAATGACAGCACTGACGTCTTAATAAACCTGTTTTTATTACCAAAATATTACATGGCTCTCACGAATGCTTGACTTTGATTGGTCAGTATGATGTGATAGCCCAGTGATGAGATTAAATGTCTGCATGATCTCGGAAGTTTCTTCCAAATTTTAATCTTTTTTTTCTTTATTGTGTATATTGTGTAATTGAGGGTGGAGTTATACTCTATTTTAATACTCCCCCTTGTCATCTTTAAATTGTAGAAAAATAACAGTTGGAGAGAGAAGGGCTAAAGCCCCTGATATACTTCAAACAAAGTTCTTTTCATTCTTTGTTTTTTTTTTCAACACTTCTTTCAACACTTTTTTCAAACAATGTGACACCCCATGCTGACACCTCAAGCAATGTTGTAAACATGAAAGCCTTCAAAATGTGCACTGTGTAGTTTGAAGATCTCCAGAAAGGGTTATCGCCAAGCATGCAATAAAGAAACCCGAATTCCACTTTGGAAACACTGGCGTTTACGCTCCAAGTACAAGATGGTCAAAGAAGGAGGAGTTCCTGAACACACCCACTGATTGCGTAATCAACACTGACCAATGGTAGTTCAAAGGTGTTAAGAAAATGAACTCCCTCAAAATGTTTGCTCTGGTGAGCTGTTTCAAACTGCTGAAACACATTCAAAACCAACTTTGTTTTAGTTGGATTTTGATTAAAATTACATCATTTCAGTTTGTTCTTCATATTTGTAAGGTATATAAGGGCCTTAAGGATATTCTGCCAAAGCCTACAAATTGACAGCTTAGACAACAACTTGTAAATAAAGATTTCAGTTGTGGATGAAAGATTATCAAGGCATACACTTATTTTCAGTGGATAACCTTAAACATTCTGTATTAACTGGTCACCTCCAGAAGAACACTGTGAGCTAACAAAGTAGATTTTGTCAATTTTGATTAAATTAGGAATCTTTCATACACGTGTTTTTGCTATTGAGTAGCTATGAAACTGTTACTATGATATGTTAGTTTGAAGTAAAGAAAATACAACCATAATCCGGTGTTTCTATTTTCTGCTATTCTGTTTTACCTTCCCTATGTGTACTGCTAAACTCACATATTAGACCATTTTTAAGACCGCTGACCTTAACTGCAAATGAGTTTTTACCTGTATGGCAGCGAATGTCAGTGCAGCCAAAATGACATACAGCATAATGTCCTTAAGCTTCTTGACTACAAGAACTTCACACCCCTGTGACAAATACACCGAATTAGTTATCATTTCATAGTTCTGGACTGCAGCTCTGTAGAAAGTGTGTGAGTGTGCATTACCTCTGGGTAAAGGTCTCCAGGACGCATTAATGTCCCGGTGCAGTTGCTGATGGTAGGTTTGCAGCAGCTCACTGGAACACTGTTGTTTTTGGACTCGATAAACCAATGAGTGTTCATCCAGTCAGAGTAATTATGAATGCCACAGCAGTGAAGCTAAAAGTGAAAGATTGTATAGTTTAGATTAAACACATGAGAGAGATGACAATGAGAGGAAACTTACGGCCTTACAGTACCTGTCTCTGCACATAGTCAATGGCCCTGCTGGGAGCGTCTGTGTTTGTGCCTTTGTATTCATTATATACTTTCTGAATAGAGTGATTCACCACAGCCTCGACCTTTCAGAGGAAAAAAATGCTTTAATATTAATACTTTCTTACTTATGCATGCACATGTACTTGTATTTAATTATTTCCAACCTTGGCTCTGTAAATATAACCTAGCACCACCACAACCACTTCAGTTGCAAAGACCAGAAGCAGCACTGCAGAAAACTGCAGAAAATAATCAGATGAGAAAAATCAGGACAGATTCGGTATTCAAAATCATTAAGGCTGTACGTGTGAAAGTAAAAAGGTGTCAGTTTGTTGTTTACCGTGACCAGGCCACAGCGGCTTTCTCGAATGGTGGCACAGCAGCCGATGAAACCAATGACAAAAAGAAGAGTGCCGACAGCAATGATCACCATTGCAGGAATGAAAGTGTAGATATCCTCAAAAAAATGATCGTAATCATCATATGTTATAAAAACATATGCTCCTATGTAGCACAGTATACCTGCCGCAGCCTGGAAAGAGAGCAAGTGAAATATTGTTAGTTCACAATCACACTTATATTGACATGTAGAATAACATTTGTAATTCATTCCTTCCTTTTCTTTTCGGCTTAGTCCCTTTATTAATCTGGAATCACTACAGCAGAATGAACCGCTAACTTATCCAGCATATGTTTTACACAGCATGTCCTTCCAGCTGCAACCCATCACTGGAAAACATCCATACACACTCATTCACACACATACACTATGGACAATTTAGCTGACTTAATTCACCTATAGCACATATTTTTGACCTTGTAGGGGTAATCGGAGCACTTGGAGGAAAACGAGGAGAACATGTAAACTCCACACGGAAATGTCGACTAGGCTCGAACCAGCAACCTTCTTGCTGTGAGGTGATTGTGCTACCCACTGCGCCACCGTGCTACCCAATGTTTGTAATATTTTATTTTAAAATATATAGTTTTGTGTAAACGATCTTTATTTTTAATCTCCATTTATTAAGATTATGTTATCGTCAATATTATTATAATTATCTCTCAAATCAAACATGCTGCTTTAATTCCTAATTCCCTAATAATTTTTATACAATAAAAAATGCATGTTTTGTCTATAAAATGTATTCATTGTTTTATTAAAAATTGTTTAATATGTCAATAAAGTATGTCAGTGAAAATGATAAGCAAAAAAGGGCTTTAAAATATTTTAGTTTTTTACTGCTGTTCTTTCTATTTATTGTTTAAGTCAAATAATAAAAATAAACATTTGGTTTTTTTGAGAGTTATATCAAGTTTTTTTTAAAGATTTTAAATAGTGTTGCAAACTGTGTTTTGGCAAAAAAAAAAAAAACATATATAAAGGTGACAACACCAAAACCAAACATCAAAAATATCACATTTATTTACTGAAAGGCTATCATGCAGCGTGTGATGTTTCAAGAATACAGCCTCTTCATCAGTCTAATTATGAGGAGTCATGTCACACGCTATGTGATCTTTTAGTAATAAATTAGATATTTTTGGAGTTTGATGTTGCCGGCTTTATCTTTGCTGTTATGTATATCTTTTGGCTGAGCACCCCTTTGAGATCAATATACATGCTTTTGTGCATTTAACTGTGGAAATCATACATTTTTAGTTATTTTTCATTTCAAACCACGCAATTATATACAGTTTAGATATTAGGCTAACAGTAATGTTAGTTATTGATTTAACAATAAAGTACTAACAGTTTAATCAGCTACAGCTCATAAATAACTGTAATTTAGACTGATATCTCTGTTCATCTCTATATCAAGATATTTGAAGCACTAAAAAAGCTTTAGTATTTTCTGAATAAATAAACAACATAATGCTACAAAAAAGCCCCCAGTGCGATAATATTGTGGAAAGACATCGTGGATTTTCCTTGCCATTGCAAACGCTAGTGGATCTTATTTTATAGACAGATTTTTGTATGGTTGCGCATATAAACTGAATCTACAAACATACTATGCATTATATGTTTAAACAGCCTTCATTAGATGATTTTGTTTTGATTGTGATTAGATAACGTTATTCGTTGCATCCATCGCCTGGTGCTCTTATTCTGTACGTGACACACTGGGGATAAAACTGACAGAAATACAGAATTTTACCGGGTGCAAATTCCGGTTTAGATTCATTTTATGATGTTTTAAGTTAAACAACATATTTATCTAAAAGAATGTCAATTATGATAAGCATGTAAACAACAGCTCGTTCGCTGTAGCCCCTCTGCGTCTCTGCAGAGCTATGCCGCACACTGCCCGCTAATCGCTGCATCCCTGCTGTAGGTTACTTACCCAGAAAATCAGATTGAGGAAGACGAGAACCGTCTTTGAAGAGATCACGCCACATTGTCCCATTTTCACGCTGGCTAGTATATATTTTGATCCAGAAAGGGAAATTCACGTTCATAGCAGCTGCATTTCGTGAGCGAGATTGTCAGGCTGCTGTAGTCAACAGAGCATCCAACTGGACAGCGACAGTCACGTGTCCCACTGACCTCAATACCGCGAAGAGCCGAGTGCTGTTAGTTCACGCAGGCGGTAAGACACAGTCAAATGGCGTATTTTAGACGTTATAACTCTCTTTCTAGCTTTAGAACCTGCACCAGCCCCAGTGGTGTTCATGTGGTCATTTGAGTCATACTGATAAATATTAATTTTCAGGGTTTTATATAGCGAGTCTGAAGACAGACTCGCCACTCTGACTGATTTGTCATGGTATTAGGTTTTTGAAAGCTAGCCTTATTAGCCTAAGTCATATTTATTAGTTTCAAATAAATAATATCATATTTTTTTAGTCATTTAAATCACATTTATTTTTTTACTTTGATTCTTATAGGTTATAAATATCTGGTTTCAATTAGGAGCAACAAATATATGTGGCACTTATAGGACTACTATCATTTGAAAGCAGGAGAAACTATGTTTCTTCTATTTGTCTAACTCTCTTAACAATAAAAATGCAAATACAAATTACTTCCTTATAAAGACTTTAAAAACAGAAATGTGAGATATGATGTCATGTAGTGTCGTGTTGAGTAAATGGAGGACAGCTTTGGGTCAAACTTATGACTATTGTTCTCGTTGTTTGTTACATTTGCATTGTTTACATGCTAATGAGCTTGAACTGGAATTATGTGTTGTTCTGTTATGCCACACCAATGCTTAACTGTTTTCACATTGATGTAATCACAGACCAAAATTTGACCTACAAATAGCTTATACAGAGCAGGCTAGGTGTTAATTAGAACTTTTTGTACATTGCATACATTCTTGGGGCAAGATAAGAGCACAGTATTGAGCAATGTGTCAGTTTTTAATCTTGCTTTATTCTTACTGTACTATAGTTTAATGCTGATATCATACTTCCATTATTGTCATCATATTTTCATTCTGTTTTAGTGGTTGGAAGTTTGAAAGCTTTGTCATTTTCAACTGTTTGAACTGGTTGAGATCATTCACACAGGTAAGTGTATTTCTGCTTTTTGTTAGCTGTTCAATCATTGTGTTTATACACTCCTACACTCTTTAAAAAGTTCCAAAATGTATTTTTTGCAGCAGTTCCAAACTCTAATTTATGAATTCAAAAACAAGTCAAAATACTGACACTCATTACCAAGTTTATGCACCTTAATTTTAAAATTTCATATTTTTTATTTTACAATTATCTTTTCTACGCTTTTACATTATATCTTATTGTACAACACAGTGGTCAAAAACTGGTGTGTTTATTTGTGCTTCATACTGTAAATAAATAGATGTTATGAAATATATTTTACAAGAGCAAACTAAATGTTATATTGTTTAAATATTATAGAGGTATAATATAGGCCACTTTCTAAAACTTTTTCATTCATTCATTTTCTTTTCAGCTTAGTCCCTTTATTAATCTGTGGTCATTACAGTGGAATGTACCGCCAACTTATCCAGCATATGTTTTAGACAGCGGAAGCCCTTCCAGCTGCAACCCATCACTGGGAAACATTCATACACACGCATTCACACTCATACACTAAAGACAATTTAGTTTACCCAATTCACACCACATGTGTTTGAGGGGGGAATTGGAGCACCTGGAGAAAACCCATGGGAACAAGGGGAGAACAAATTTGTGGAACTTTACTGTGGAATCTAATTTTTCACATTAAAAATAGCTGCAGCAGATATCAAGGACCAATAATGCAATTTAAAAGCTCTAAAAAACAACGGAAAACACCCCTACATTACAAGGTACAGTAAATTTCTATTAAAATATATACTTATAACTGTATATATAACAGTTAACTATCACTCTACATAACAGAATCGTTTTTGGTTGTCAGTGAGCAATTCGTAAATTAATTAAATGAATACTTTTGTGTAAAGAACATTTGGAAAAAGGATCTTGGGTTACACGGAGATTCTTCAGATTCTTCACCAATAACAGATTTTTATTATGTATATGAGTGTATTTGTACAAATGTAAACATGCTCTAATTTGATACCGTAAAGTTCTTTTTTGATTGATAATTTTTAGTGGACCTCATTCAACTATGAAATCTAAAATAAATCAAATGTTCTAAATCCAAACCTCTTGTCTAGCACCTGATTTAACATTTAACACCTGATTGTTAAACCACTTGTTTAACACCTGATGTAAACAAACCTTCAATAAATAGTGACATTTCAGATACAAATTATGACACTTTTAACATTGTAGTTGCATGCAGGAGCAACTGACTTCACGGATTTGGTCTTTATTTAATACAAATCATTGAAAAAAATAAAACAATTCTGGACATCTTCTAAAAATAAATATACAAGTATAACTTGTTGCTTTTTTTATGACATGGAGCTGGTTAGGCATAGTTATGAAACAAATTACAGTTGATGAAAAAGCAATTACAAATTCCAAGTGAATTAAACTGTGAAGATCTCAGCTGACGGAAGTCATCATCATCATTTATTGTCTTGAATGTAGCTTTCTAATATCTTCATTAATATTGCAGTCTCCTAGAATGACCAGAAATCAATGTCAAATGTTGATTATGTTCTGTTAGTGATTGTCATATCAATAATAATATCAGCAGTTTTTTTGCAGTACTGACATTTTACCCAGCTGAAAAAACAGCATATGTTGATAAGGTATGTTTTGATGCTAGTGTTTATTGAAGTTTTAGTATTTAGTTTTTGAAAATTTCGTATCGTACAACACTACTTATATGTTGGTGCTGATAAGTAAAGGATCAGTGGAACCCAGCTGTACACTTTCAGAAATAAAGGTACAGGAGCTGTCACTGTGGCAGTACCTATTCTAAAGGTACATGTTTGTACCTGAAGGGTCCATAATGGTACCTCAAAGGTACATTTAAGGCACATTTGGGCACTGATATGCACGTTTAAGTTACCACTGCGGACTCTTTGGGTACAAATATGTATTTTTTGAAAAGGTACCACCACAGTGACAGCTCTTGTACCTTTATTTTGGAGAGTGTATGCTTTTTTCTCTCTCTTTTTTTTTTGTTGTACGCTATTGTTTAAAATGCATTTTATCAACAGGGTAAACAAGCAATATAGTTTAAATCCTTAAACAAAATGAATTAAGGCTCTATTAAAAGTACTGAGAAAACAATTGTATGACATCTCTCATATTTTACTGTACAGTGGGAAAGAAATGATTCATTGGATTTACTAAATTGTTTACAAACAATCTATATGGGCTGATTTTAAACAAACAAGTTGAACGTTATAAACGTTATAAACCCATATAAATTGTTGCAAAATTGTTGCAAAACAATTTATATGGGTGTAATTTAAATGAACAAACTAAATGTAGCAATGTTCAATTGAAGGGTTTAATCTGTTTAAATTCAGAACAAATACACTTAAAATAAAAAATGTAAATCCAAGAAATCTTCTTTAAATCTTTTTTTCTGTGTAATTTCCTTAAAAAAAGGTTTAGTAAATTCAATAATATTTGTTTTCAATGTGTGCTGTTCAATGTTTTCTTCAGCAAGGTAAACAAACAATATAGCTTAAATCCTTGAACAAAATGAATAAATGACTCATTAAAAGTAGAAAACAATGATATGATGTCTCATATTTGATATCAGACAGCTTCAGATGGACAGAATGTGCAATATCGGTTCTTACCGGGACGTTCGGGCGGATGTGGCGCGTGTCGAGGTGTGTTTGCAGAGCGACTCTCAGCATCTCCTGGAAAACATCCTCGGGCTCGACCTGCCGGGCGTTCAGCGCAGCCTCGACGGCTGTCATCGTGGACTCATCCTCGGTCGGCAAGTGTTTGCTGTCCACGACACTTTTCTTCCCCATAAAATGACCTTAAGTGTCAAACCACATTTCTGTTCTATGTGTAAAGCACGTTAAATGTAGCACAACAATAAGTTATGGATGCATCTCACCTGTTGCCCATAAATTTCCTCTGGGGTTTACTTTGATCTTTGCAACTTTGTTTCTAAGTTCAGTCAAGTCGAGGCTCACTGACGACGTTTTCGAAATGTAAAAAGAGAAAAGCACAAGGTATGTGAGGAATCCACAGCAACAAAACCTGGATACGCTTGGACTGGACATTTTTGAACTCTGTCGGTGTCTCCTTCTCGGTGTCCGTCCCTCTATTAGGGCTGTCGGCGTCAGATGTTGTTTTTATATCGGGCGGATGGGAGGGATGACTGGGTGTCGTGCACTGTAATGACTTGTTGCGTTCGTTTAACGTCCAGCGAACAGATGCCGCAACGCTGTCGATCACAGCAAATCATCAGGCTCGTGACGGGAATATGAGGGAGCCTATGGAAAAGCAATTATCACTTGCCAACCGACGTGTGAGATTATTTTGCAGACTCAATTTCTTTCGAACTGCAGAGTTCAGTTCAGCACCATGGACAACACTCACACCACACGTTGCTCACATGAGAGGAAAATCTGTTGAACTTGGCGTCCCAAAGGGTTTCACTTTTTACAACAGAAAAAAAAAAAAATCAAAACCTGCTTATAAATTTCAATATTGATAACAAAAATAAGTATTATAATAAATTAATGACACATATCAAATGTCAAAGTTTAATGTAGAAAAACTGAAGTAGTATTTTCATGTAAACTTTAATCATTTTTTTTATTTCACATTTAAATGTAAAATCGGGGCGCACGGTGGTGCAGTAGAACGATCGCTTTAAAGCAAAAAGGTCGCTGGTTCGAGTCTCGGCTGAGCTAGTTGGCATTTCTGTGGAGTTTGCATGTTCTCCCCGTGTTGGCGTGGGTTTCCTCCGGGTGCTCCGGTTTCCTCCACAAGTTTAAAGACGCCACCCACACACACACACACACACACACACACACAAACACACACACACACACACACACACACAGTTCACTAGTTCACAAATAATTTATAAATATAAATATTATATGGTAGCACAGTAACTCAGTGGTTAGCACTGTCGTCTCACACCAAGAATGTCGCTGGTTCGAGCCCAGGCTGGGACAGTTGCCGTTTCTGTGTGGATTTTGCATGTTCTCCTTTTGTTAGCGTGGGTTTCCTCTGGGTGCTCTGGTTTTCCCCACAGCCAAAGACATGCTATGAGTGCTTCTAATAAGCTAAATTGGCTGTAGTGTGTGTGAGACTGTATTGGTGTTTCCCAGTGCTGGGTTGCTGCTGGAAGGACATCCGCTGCATAAAACATACAGTATGCTGGATAAGTTTGCAGTTCATTCTACTGTGGCGACTCCTGATAAATAAAGGGACTAAGCCGAAGGAAAACAAATGAACAAATGAATAAATATTATATATTATGTGTGTTCAGATTAATATTGTGTATATTTTTAAGACATTTATAAAAATAAAAAAAGGTAATGATACTTAAATAACAAGAACACTGAATAAATAAGTTGTCATTTTTACCCTTTTTTGATTGATGATTGATTGTTTGGTTGGGTTCCTTTGATGCTATTACTAGTCATTTTTTAATGTCATTTTATAATTATCACAGCGAATGTTTTGTTCATTACACCACAATGTATCCATATGATTGTTTAATACAAAAAAAATGCTAGGTTCAGCAATCTCATCTTAAGTCTTGCAATATATAAGTTTGCATTATATTAATTGCTGTCGGGTTCATTAAGGGTGCAGTAGGTGATCTGCCAAAATGGTAACCGTTAGCATAATAGCTATAAAAAGACCTCACCTGCCGTCTAAGCCACGTCTCCTGAAATCACGAAAGCACACTGTAAAGATGATAATAGACAAACCACTAGATTATGTCAGTTGCCAATTATAATACTTTATAGTACTTTATAATACTACAATTCCCAATAAAAAAGCTCTATTATATCTAGCACTTTTTTCAGTTCAAGCTAAACTTGTCATAATGTGCAATACTTCATGCATGCAAGGATAGCTGATCTCACTCTCTCACGCGTTTTGTCCTAAAGTTACTTTAGTGTGGCGTGCAGGAATTACACTTATTACTAAGCCATAATTACGTGCTATTTCAGAACAAATATTTTAAGTAGCAAGGTAAACAATATAGAAGTCCCAGCTTGACAATGTTCAAAAATGAACCAATGTGATGTGAATATAAAACTTAATCTCAGTAAAGCAGGCTAGATGGAATAGCACTATTTACTTATGTTTTGTTGTTAAACTAAATAAAAATCTACATTATTGATGCAAAGGTCACTTATAAAACAAAAGAAGATTTCAGTGGCTGAACAACACTTCTGTGCATATAACCCATTCATAAAACAACACAATCTACATCAGCTTTAAAACATATTATTACCTGTCTAAAGGAAATACTTCAGCCTTGGTGTGTCATCCCTCATCCAGCGTGCGAAAGTAACTCCAATATTCATTTAGGATTTTAAAAAGTTTTGATTCAGCATTTGTTTTAGCATGCGCATGTGCACGGAAATGGCAGATCTGCATGAACAGTTGTGCAGATGTACAAATCGACATTTGTTGAGAGAGGGTTATCAGAATTTTGGAGTTATCGGCCTGACAATATTTATTGGATGAACTGTTTTGGTCTTTTGCCTTAACCAGAATATAAAAATGCATATAAACACGTTTAGATCATTTACATTAATCATTACTATTGGAATGTGAAGAGACTTTCAACCAGCACAACAAAAAAATGTTTCTGAAGACAATCACCTACTGCAGCTTCAAGAGTCAATTGCACATGCTTTATTTTCAGGATCACTTGTTAAACAGTAACTTCATCATTAATGAAATCAACTCTTTGAAAGAAGATTTTATCCAGTTCTTCTCATCTTTATAAATTGGTTTGCCCCTGTGCATGTGTATGTGTGTGTGTGTGTGTGATGTTTCCTTCACAGTTTCCAGCAGAGATTGGAGGAAGAGGGTGAGGACGCTGGATGAACTTGCCAATGTCAGGGTTCAGGAAGGATGAGGGAGCAAGGACTCAAGTGCAAACAGGATGATTTATTGATAATAAAATAAAACAAAATTAGAACAAAAAACACCCCGAGGGGGAAAAACATAACTATAAAACAAACACTCAAACAAACTTGGATGGGCTGGCAGGACAAACAGGACTGGATAGCACACGACATGGGAATAACGACGACGACGAACAGGCAAATGACTGAAAACATGAGGGGGATTATAAAGCAAAAAGTAAATTGACACACAGGTGAACATGACAAACTAATAATGAGTAAACAAGGAGGGTGGGACTAGACAATAGACGGGAGAGCGCATGACACAGAGAGACAATACAAGCCATGCGCTCACATAACGCAACACTGAAGCACACGACAAAAGCACGTGACCACAATGTAAACACCAAGCCACGTGCTTTGACAAGAGACGCAAGACACGAGCACACGATAGATAAATACCTTACCGTGCGCTCACACATAAGCAACGCGCATGCTTCATCTCAGCGCCAACCAAAACTGAAACCAACTAGACGGAGGCGCCGAGAATAAAGCAGCGCGCTGCTGACAGAACAAACACAAACACTAGTACAAGAGCGCGCGCGTCTGAGGGACGCAGAGCGTGCGCGGCCACATCAAGTGGCAGCGCGCACACTCTGCGTACACCCACGACGGCGCGCGCGCGCACACAGAGACAGAAACAGGACCAGACGTGGAGTAGTGTCAGAGCTCTGCCACCAAAACAAGAATTTACAAGACCAAAGTGGCAGAACCCTGACACTAGCCCCCCCCAAAAGGGACGCCACCTGGCGTCCCTAAAGGGAACATCCAACAAGGTACAAGACAGACAAGAAACACTACAAGACAACAAAACTGGCAACATCAAGAGACACAAGACAGGGAGGTGAACAGGCAAGACGACATGAAGGGGGGGAGGGAGGGAAGCCAAGCCAGACCCAAAACGACAAACAAGGGAGGGATGGGAGGGCAAGACAAGGGAGGATCAGTCCAGGGTGGGACCGGAGGAACTGTCCAGGGTGGGTCGAGCGGGTCAGGAGCCCCAGCAGGGAACCAGGGTGGAGCCGGTGGGTCCGTCCAGGGTGGAGGAAAGGAACACCAGGGAGGAGCAGGAGGGACGACCCAGGGAGAGTCTATCAGGGGAGACAAGGCAGGAGGTCGGTGGGGAGCCGGCTGGGCTGGAGGCCTGTGGGGAGCCGGCAGGGCTGGAGACCAGAGGGGAGCCGGCAGGGCTGGAGACCAGAGGGGAGCCGGCAGGGCTGGAGACCAGAGGGGAGCCGGCAGGGCTGGAGACCAGAGGGGAGCCGGCAGGGCTGGAGACCAGAGGGGAGCCGGCAGGGCTGGAGACCAGAGGGGGGCCGGCAGGGCTGGAGACCAGAGGGGAGCCGGCAGGGCTGGAGACCAGAGGGGAGCCGGCAGGGCTGGAGACCAGAGGGGAGCCGGCAGGGCTGGAGACCAGAGGGGAGCCGGCAGGGCAAGACGTCTGGTAGGTTCCGGCAGGGCAAGGAGCCGGGCTGGGGCCGGCAGGGCTAGAGACCAGAGGGGAGCCGGCAGGGCAAGGCGCCGGGCTGGGACCGGCAGGGCTAGACGTCTGGTAGGTTCCGGCAGGGCAAGGAGCCGGGCTGGGGCCGGCAGGGCTAGACGTCTGGTAGGTGCCGGCAGGGAAAGACGTCTGGTAGGTGCAGGCAGGGCCAGGTGCCGGGCTGGAGCCGGCTGGGCAAGACGTCTGGGTGGTGCCGGCAGGGCAAGGAGCCGGGCTGGGACCGGCAGGGCAAGACGTCTGGGTGGTGCCGGCAGGGCAAGGAGCCGGGCTGAAGCCGGCAGGGCTAGACGTCTGGAAGGTGCCGGCAGGGCAAGGTGCCGGGCTGGAGCCGGCTGGGCAAGACGTCTGGGTGGTGCCGGCAGGGCAAGGGGCCGGGCTGAAGCCGGCAGGGCTAGACGTCTGGTAGGTGCCGGCAGGGAAAGACGTCTGGGTGGTGCCGGCAGGGCAAGGGGCCGGGCTGAAGCCGGCAGGGCTAGACGTCTGGTAGGTGCCGGCAGGGAAAGACGTCTGGTAGGTGCCGGCAGGGAAAGACGTCTGGGTGGTGCCGGCAGGGCAAGGAGCCGGGCTGAAGCCGGCAGGGAAAGACGTCTGGTAGGTGCCGGCAGGGCAAGGTGCCGGGCTGGAGGCGGCTGGGCA